ATATCGAACATAAAATATTCCATGTTCTACCCAGCACTGAAGCTTTCTACTTTCTAACAGCATACATTGAGAATGTTCAGGATGTGACCGAAAACCCAAGGCTTTGTGAGGCATATTAAGCTTGAATATTGTATAGAAATGAAGAAGTATGACTACTATCCTTCAATGAGTTTAAGGGAATAATTGAGAACGAACATTTTAAGTTCTTCTGAAAGACAAGTTGTTGGCATAGATGTCCTTATCTGTGTGTGTGTATAAGTTGCTGAGATTAGGAGTGTTGAATTAATATTGGAAATTAACATACAGACTAAGTCTTTTAAGCATTAAACAACGGCTAGCACGTAGAACAAGAGATTCGATCGTGCTGTATTCGACATACAAACATGTCATGTACGAGTGCGTTCCACGGTCTGCTGCACTCCTGTTCCTCACTAGCTAATAAATGCCCAGTATCTGAATATCGGGTCTTAGCACCCACCACGGATCAGACAACAATGATAACAAATCGTTGCTCAAACTTTTAATATCATGAAAGAGCATTAACCCGAAAACTGAAACTTCGTATTCTCGAATTTGACAATGACAATTGCCTTCTTTCACAGTGACAATTTTCTTTATATAAGAACGCACATGAAGTATCAAGATATCCTCATGATTATAACATTATGGGCAGGGACGGATCTAATTTTATTTGGGGGGGGGGGTCCGGAACGGAACTTCTGCAGTATCTAAACTGCTGCGCCAGCGACTCGACAATACACTCGTAATATTTCACGTACAGCTCGGCGACTCTTATCGTATCTATCACTTATTGTGTATTTAAAGCATATTTTAGCATCATTGATTAATGATGTGTTGATGAAGCCCTACCGCTTCAAATGGTAATGGATACCAGTATATAACGCTAAGGAAAATATGGGACATCAAGGAACACTAATGCAAATTGAATTTGTTCACAACCTCTCTAACAATAATTCTGACAGTGATTGCAAGCTTTCTGTTTTTTCTGTACTTGATACGCAATATTCTTTCTATTATCATCATATTATCAAAACTTGTGGAATGGTGGATTAATATCCAAAAGTAAAATAGCAAAATTCGTCTCCTGGGCCTTTACTAAGATCAAATGTATATTGATACAGCCCTACGGTTTGAAACAGTTATTGACACATGTATCATGCTTAGGGAAATATGAAACAACCAGTAAGACTAATGGAAATGCGTTTGTTTACCATCTCTCTAACTCTGACCCAGAAAGTGAAGAAAAGCAATCTGTTATTTTGTAATATATACACAGTACCTTTAAAATTGGTCATCATTTTATCAAACCCATGATGCATTTATAACTTACAGTGTGTCAAAATGATGATGGAAATGATTTGATAAGGCGGTTATTATACTGAGTAGTTTGATTCCTTAAAAAACCAATAGCATCGATTGTTAAAAAAGGCCGTTCAAACAGACTGTTACTTGAAAGCTTTTTGCAATTTGTAAGCTTTCTTTTTTCATATCCTTTCAAATTCGACAGAAAACATCATCCTTCTTGCAAACTTCCCTTTATCTTATATGTAAATAAGTTTTTTTTCTGCAAATTTCCTGCAAACACTACCCTATAGGTTCAAGATTCCGGTATTGCCAGCTCGATCTTGATTTCATATATAACCCATATCAGCAATACCGGTACCACTATAATGGCTGCGCAATGGCTACACGAAAATCAGTTTTTAAAGCAGAATGTTGCTTGTATTGTGGCACTGACCTTCGACTGCAAGATATTTTCAATTCAAACTTTTAACTCCGCGTCAGGCACTTTAATTGCTTCTTGTCTCGTCTGCACGACATAACTTCAGCGCAAGGCGGGAAAGGCAGCGCCAGGCGGCTAAACCTGTGACGTACGAGACTTATGACTTCCAAATATGGATCCAGGCGGACACAGCTGTGACGTGTGACTTCCAAATATGGAAGCGCCCCAGGCAAATTTTTGAAGAAGAACGCCCTCAGATTGTCGCTGTTCGTCAGAGCTAGTAAAAGCAACTCCATCACAAGGTATATTTAGCAAGCTAGCTTTTACGTTGCTCTGACACTCAGGGTAGCAAACACCTGTGTGTTGATAGAGCCCAACCGCTATGGACGATAATGGACGCCAGTATAACGCATTCGGAAAATATGAAACTACCAGCAAGCCTAATGGAAAATGTATTTGTTTACGACCTCTCTAAATTTGTCCCAGGTAATTAAGCCAAACTGTCTGTTATTTTTTATGATGTACAAATTCCTTTTTTAAAATTAGGTCATCATATTTTAAAAACACTAGTTGTATAACAGGCTTCTTTTATGTAAAATATTAATATAGATCATAAAATATTTAATTGAGCAAAACCCCCTTCTCCGCAGGTGACCGTCTCAATGTGAACTATACATTATGTCAGCCCGGTACTTGGCTTACGTGTACACGGATAATCGAAAAACCTTGCTTGATACATCATTATGGCTGATGCTCCAATTGTTCAGATGAATTTGACAAATTGTGCAAGTGCATTCAACATTAAATACGTGGTGACAAGGAACAGACATACATGTAGGTACAAAAATGCAGCACAACTAGCACAATCCACATATAGTTAACTAACATATAGCTAACAAGTTAACTAGCTAGTGCATAAGACTCGGGTCCAAGCAAAAATAAGGTAAATAGCATTATCTAGCATGACTGAAACACGCCTTTTCACCCACCAGGTGGTGTTCTTAGGACACATCTGACACCAGCATCCTCAGAGTGATCGCAGTTGTGTGTCCACCAACCGTTGTGACTGCAATCTTTGATAGAGGTCTCATGCCCAGAGCAGACGACGTTATTCATTAGAATGGTACCGGTGCCTTGGCCGAAATAAGCGTGGAAAAAAGAAACAGAGCCGATTCGCCTAGAATTTGTAAGCCACGTCAAATAAGTTGACATAACCAGATTTAAAAAAAAATGAATAACACTTTTACAATAAAAGTGAAAAAGAAAAGAAGCATAAAATAAACAATGTGCTTACTTGTACACAAGCATTCTGCAGACCACACGGGCATCCATGTCACCCCAGGCGTGATCACAGACAGTGCCCCATTCACCGTTGTGGAGCACTTCGACTCTGCCCTCACCGGCACGAGCACCACCCACCAATCTGACTTCAACTGCAAGGAATTGTGGATAACGATCAGCAAAGTTTCATATAAGCAATAACCATTTCATAACACCTTGCTGACAGCAACTTGTTATTATAGGATGTGACCTACATAGGAGGAAATGGGAAATGACACAATTATAAATGTAAACAAGACGTGTAATAGAGGGGTCATGTGCGTTACCATTTTTCTGTTATACTTGAAATTTTATATTTATTTCCCATTTAATTTTATTATAAAAATCACTTCATTTGATGAAAAAGGATCAAAATCTCTCAAATAATGGTATCTACATATATAACCCACATTAGTTCAGTACAAAATGTAATATTGATAATTTAATGTTGGCGGCCATATTGGATTTAGCAGTCATTTTTAAGTTAACTGGTAGGGTTTTTTTTATAATTTGGAAACATAGCATTCTTAAAACCAGTTAATTAATTTGGCTTCATGAGTATCTGCAGTTTTCACATCATTGAACATTTGACCACGTTGCGAGGACATTAATGCCCCGTCCCCTCTTTTCTATCACAATCCTCTGATATTCTGATGGAATCCATCCTTGCTGTCTAGTAATATTGAACATAAAATATCCCATGTTCTACCCAGTATTGAAGCTTTATAGTTTCTAACAGAATACATTGAGAATGTTCAGGATGTTACTAACAACCGAAAGCTTTGTGAGGCACATTTAGCTTGAATATTGCGTAGAAATGAAGTTAAGGCGTATGATCACTATCCTCCAATGAGTTTAAGACAATAATTGAGAACGACAAGTGCATTCCCATAGATTTAGATCGATCTATCGCCGTGGGGAGTCTCACTAGATTACTGTCAGATAATCCGGCTTAAATGTCCGCCCCGCCCACTATAAGCTGTAGGGGGGTAATTAACTTTCGTGCCCGCTCGGCTGACAGGTATTGAGCGTGAACCCCCAGGGAGTAAGGTCGATCTAGTTTGGATCGATTTTATCTCTGGGAATGGGGTCTTACACTGTAAATTGACCGTACTCTCATGTATTGTGTGATCACAATGTCATAGGTCCCCCTGTTGCACGTTGGAGTTGGATTCTCCTTGCGCCTCTGTCAATGCACCTCATTTAATTTAAATATTACAATATAAATATAGTATAAGTATTATATTTGTCATGTATTGTTCCTTTTTGAAAATGCTACTTGCTGTATTTTCCTTATTCCTTATTCATTATCGTTCATGTTTTATAAATACTGACATCAGTAAGTTTATAAATAAATAATTCATTTATAAATTAATGCAATAAGATTTTTTTGAGGTTGATGCTGACGCTCATGCATGTTAATCAAACTAACAATACTTAGTTCAATTTTTGACTACGGAAAATTCATATTGAATGAAATACCTGATAACAAATTTAACTAGCAGTTTGTTAGCAACACTTAAAAGATAATCAGCTGCACGTGCCAAACTAGTGAACAAAAGGACAGTTCGCTAAGGGAGACGGTTTAGTGGCACGCGATAGCATGGGTTCAAGCCTCTTACAGCTATAATCCTATTGCTACAACAAACAATGGGGACCTTCTGGCTGATGTATCCTGCTGTTAATTACACTTTGCTACAGCGGATTGTTGCGCTCGCGCTGGACCACAGATACCGGCGTCATGGGGTTCACTCGCTTAAGGTATTGTGTGTTATTACGCCGAAACTATTGGGTTTTTGTGTTCGAATTTTGAAGGGATTTAGACGGCTCTCCATTGTTTGTCCGCCCCCTTCTATTCACATGATGGGGATTAAAACATTTCAAACGTTTTTAAAACGTTATACAACGGAAACATAATTATTTTTACTACTGTACAACAATACGTCTGTATTTGAAGTACAGTATAGTCCTTCCTGTTATGGGCCATGTCGGATTATAATGGGATACCTTGATGCAAAACAGTCTATCGTGTCTTGCATCGCAAGTCCCTTTAATTAATGTATTGTATTACTTATACGCCGTATATTCAGGGATCTAGACTGGCAGGACAAGGGCATAAACATAGACGGTACCAGGCTCAATCACCTTAGGTTTGCAGACGACATCATAATAGTTGCAGATGATGCAAAAGACCTCGAAGAAATGCTACAGGCGTTAGCAGATGAAAGCGCAAAAAGTGGGCTAAAGTTGAACACCAGCAAGACAAAGGTGATGTTTGGACCACTAACCACCCCTTGCACAGTGAAGGTCAACACCAAAGGGATAGAAGCAGTAGGAGAGTATATATACCTTGGGCAACTGTTCAGCCTTAGTGAGCGAACACTGGATAAAGAAATCCAACGAAGGATAAAAGCAGGATGGGCAGCATATGGGAAGCACAATGACATCTTCAAGAGCAACCTTCCTACCTGCCTGAAAAAGAAAGTGTTCAATGCTTGTGTGCTGCCGGCAATCACCTATGGTTCAGAGACCTGGGCACTAAATGCCTCCATGGAACACAAGTTACAAGTAGCTCAGAGAAAGATGGAAAGAATTATGTTGAACATCAGTCCAAGAGAGCAGAAAACGAATGTATGGTTACGTGAACAGACCAAAGTTAAGGACGTACTGCTCACAGTTAAAGAAATGAAATGGAGGTGGGCAGGACATGTCAAAAGAATGAAGGACAATAGGTGGACAATCAGGCGTACAGAATGGGCCCCAAGGTATGGACAAAGAAAAAGAGGAAGGCCGGTCAAACGATGGAGGGATGAATTAGATGACTACTGGAAGTCATGGAAGAAGAAACCTTGGCCAAACTGGAAATCTGAGGCTCAGGATAGGAAATAACGGAAAAAGCATGCTAAGGCCTTTGTCCAACAGTGGAACACTATAGGCTCTAAATGATGATGATGATGATGATGATGATTACGATTACTTATATTACCCATTTCACTTGACACTCTCTCTGTTTCTCTCCCTTCCCCTTTCACTTGTTAGAAAGAGGTTTAATTACTGTACCCCGCAGGGACGACGTGTGGGGAGGCGGAGAGACTATTAAAAGATTNAAAAAAAAACACAAAATGAGAAAAAAATATACATTCTATCAAGTCCAAAATTAGTACTTAGTGGCATAACCACGTGACCTAATAATAGCTGCTAGTCTGTGAGGCAAGGATTCATATAATTGTCTGATTCGTTCAGGACTTATGCTGGCCCAAGCATGAAACACTGAATCTAACAGAGTTTGTCTGCTGGTTGGACGGGCATTTGTCAAAAGTTTTGACATATCATTCCACACATTTTCTATTATGTTTGCATCTGGACTCTGGGCAGGCCACATCACCCTGCGAATGTCCTGCATCACCAATCTTCGGAAAAGAATAAGTCAACGAACCAGTGGGCTGATCCAGAACGTCCGACACAGCAGAATGAATCAAATAACAGCTAGCACAGCTTTATATGCAGACAGCTTTAGTGTCACTACATACATAATCAGCTGCACGCGCGAAGCTGTTGAACAAAAGGATAGATCGCTACGAGAGACCGTTTGTTTACATAAGTACTATAAGGAGGCGTGGCTACCCAGGCGACCAGGGGATTAGGCTAGTCACTATATGCGTCAACAATCGTTTAGCGACCCTATCATTATCACACTCCCTCTATTGTATTTTCCACCGCAATAATCACAGTGTAATTTTCAAATGGTAAATATACACAGACTTAATACTAGGACGGTAACTTCTATGTGTGCAACAATATAATGCATTTGGTTGATTCATGGACACACACTTAATTACCGTTTATTACAATTTAGTCTGGCTCTGATTTATATAAAATATATCTTAATCATTTTAATCTATAAACTTCTTTGTATTTTATGTTGTACAGTCTATTGAACATTTTATGGATTTTAAACTCGACATAAATGTATTATTATTATTATTATTATTATTATTATTATTATTATTATCTGGCAGATGATACGTGGATGGTGTTATCCAAACTCTTATTTGTCCACCCACGTTGCTAACTGTGAATATGGACTCGTCATTTGATCCGTACCTACCAATTGGTATGGTGTGTATTTGTCACTACTGGTTTGGGTTGGTAGTGATTAGTGGATTGTATCATCTTGCCTTGTACTTGCGCACTTCTTTCCCCCGACAGTGACCAAGAAGTGAAAAAAAATGTATTACGAAAAGAGTTTTTAATGGCAATTATATTTCTCTAATGGATTAGGCGGTCATGTTGTGAAACCTACCCTCGGTTCTAGATTTCAGTTTTCAATTTTCCCAGCTCAATCTTGATTTCATATATAACCCATATCAGCAAAACTGAACTCTAGCCACTAGATTGAGGGCGTGTCTGGCAAAATTTTGCCTCGGGCGCTTCCATATTTGAAAGTCACAAGTCTCGTACGTCACAGTTGTACCCGCCTGGAGCTCCATATTTGGAAGTCACAAGTCTCGTACAAACGAGACAAGAAGCAAAGTGGTTGACGCGGAGTTTGAAGTTTGCTAACTAAGAATATCTTGCAATCAAAGGTCAGTGCCACAACACAAGCAACTTTCTGCTTTAAAAAACTGATTTCGGTGTAGGCATTGCGCAGTCCTTATAGTGGTATCGGGGGTATTGGGCACACGCTGTAGCTTTCAAACTTAGCACACGGCAAGCACGTGTACTGGGTTTATATATCCAGGGGCAAATGTTTTTGATAAGCAAAAATACAAAATAGCTGGTATATATTTTTCTTTTAAAATATATTATTTATTTTTCAATTTACATCTTATACAGTTAATGAAATTAAATAAGCAAATTTAAATATGTTTTACATTTCATCTTGGATTAATGACATTCAACTGCAGATTCACTGCGGAGCAGTTCTTTTTGACTGACGGACACAGAACATTGTCGCTGTTCCTCAGGGCCACTGTGAAGCTATCCCGTGAAACGGTTTGAATAGTTAACAAATTAGCTTCACAGTGGCATTGACACTGAGGGCAGTGAAACCATGTATATGTATAATTTCAAAAGTTGTACACAACATGGTACCTAGGACAGAAAAAAAAATGTGTGTAATAATGAGCTCTACAGTATGTCTTCATCGAAATAGTTGGATACATTGGATTAAAAGCATATAAACTGGTATTTAGTATGGGTAAAGCAGCGATAAGAGGCAAGGTAGTATATGTCAGAGTGCTTACATTCATCGTACGTGTATAGTATGATACCTTGAAAACTTCAAGGCAGTGCAATAGGAAATAATTATGCTATTTTGTCCAGGTGGATCCTTGCTATGATTTGGTAATATGTTCTTATGGCAAACACCTGACACCAGCATCTTCCGAATGTTCACAGTCTTGTGTTCCCCATTTGTCATGGGGACAGTCTTTCAGGGAACTTTCTCTGCCAGTACACGCCACCTGCCCCATGTGAATGGGTCCAGAACCTCGGCCAGACGAAGCTCTACGGATTGCAGTTGCGCCACGGTTGCTACAAAAAGCAATCATATTGCTTTTAAGCTTGCAATATAAAAATGGTTATCGAATATTATTGATATAGCAGAAGGTTTCAGATAAGAAAAAAATGAAAATATGTATTTTACCATTCAATGACTTCACTGTGAAAAAGCTTTATATTTGACATTTTAAAACTATCAATTTTCAGAAAAAAAAATCACCACCAAACGTTCAAATACTAACAAAATATACATCACAATGCAAACTATGTGGAAAATAAATGATATGGCGACTACATATAAAATGGGGCCTTTTCGTCATGGGAGTCCAAACCCTGTGGGTATGGAAATGAATTTCTTTTGTGTTTTATTTTTCTTTTTTACCTAATATTTTATCATCATACTTTCGAATATTTCCAAGATATTTTTCATAAAATATACTAAAAATGATTACCAAATAACAAATAAATAGCTTTTTTCATAGGAAGTCATTGGGTGGTAAAATGCACAATATTAATTTCTTATTTTCTTATAAAATATTTTTTCGTATAAATAAATCAATCTCTGGACTAAAACTACTTTTATTGTTGCCTCTACAATCGCTATCATGCACATCGTAAATTGACAAATATGGTATGCTGTCTTGATGAAAAAACTTTAAACTGCATTCTCATAACCTTGTCGTACCATCAGGATCGACCTATCTCAGCGGGTATTCCTGCTAAGGCACAGGCAATGTAATCAGCTTGATTGTCTGGCACGCCCCCTCGCAAATTAACATAAACAACATCATTGGTCACCAATGGTCACCATATTCCCGACTTTACCCAAGTACTTTGAGTTACTAGTGCCTGACAAAATGAACGCAATTTAGCGAGAATAACCAAGGAGTTAGATCGGTGCAGCTAGTATGATTGGGTTTTGCGAAAGGTCCCTTAAAATGACGTGATTACTTGTAACCAAGCATTTTGCAGACCACCCGGGCATCGTTGTCATCCCAGCCGTCATCACAGACAGTGCCCCATTCGCCGTTATGGAACACCTCAACTCTTCCCTCGCCGTCACATTTACCATCCACCAATCTTACAACTGCAACTGCAAAGAATTGCGGATGACGATAAGCAAAGTTTTATATAAGCACTACCTATTTGCTAACGCACTGTTTAACACAAAACGGCACATAAAAACCGCGCCCAATGCAAAAACATTAAAACAGCACTATGATACCCCTTCGAACCCATGGCAAAAATAATCTAAATACCATTTCGTAGCATGACTTCAATACGTATATTAAGAATCTGTCTGTTCACCCACCAGGTCCTGCAACGACACATCTGACACCAGCATCCTTAGAGTGATCACAGTTGTGTGTCCTCCAACCTCTGTGTTTACAATCTTTGATAGAAGTCTCACTTCCAGAGCAGGCGACGTTATCCATAAGAATGGGACCAGTGCCTTGACCAAAACGAGCGCCGGAAAAGGAAACAGAACCACTGGGACTGGAATTTGTAAGCCACATCAAACTAAAGGATGAGAGAGGCGATACTGCCTCCGGGTATTGTACAACCAGGTGCAGGAAGCGCATTTGCATGGGAAACAAAAAAGGGACATCACTTCATGCAGTGTTATACTTGGCAAGTTCCACAGAATGCAAGAAAACAAGAGTTATCAATATGTATTGTTGAAAATTAAAATTTATAACAAAATCATGGGGAATAGTTCAAATCCTAATTTGTGAAGTGTGGTTCATGGCTTAAAGTATGTCAAACGTCACTTTTAACGTCACATGTGGCCAGTATATGATTTCCTATTCAAGTTCAGTGGTAACCAAGGAGTTAAAACTGAAGGAGATTACACGTAAGTCTCTCTATTGTCCGATGTCTGTTACGGTGGGCGGAAGTAGCTACGGGGGGGATGGGGGGGGGTCAAGGTTTTGTCTGCGTCGCTTCCCTCAGCTAGGAGATTGATTTTATATGCGTTATTCCGTGTTAAATTTCGAGATCAGTTGTGTCAAAAGCGGTGCTGTATCATAAAGATTTTTTTCACAGGTGATTATTTGGACGATGTGCTGACAGGGAATGACATCATAGCAAACGATAATGTGGAGACTGAGGATGGTCGCCATGAGTTTCTTTTTTTTTTTCTTTGAGTCGATGGGTGATGGATTTTTATTGCACACCCCAGCGATAAATCACCAAGGAGAAGTCGAGAGAGAAAACGTCCCAACTGTGGCTTGTGAAAATGACATTCCACTGAATGTCTGTCCTCACGTCCCAAAAGACACAATTTTAATACATGAACGTTTGGACCCTCTCGCCCTAAGGTCTCATAAACATTTAGATTGTGACAGCGCCTCAGCTTTTTGTCTTTGGTTTTAAAATTCTTAATTAAACTTAAAATATATTTCTTTCAGTATAATTTTAAAGTAAAACATTTAAACATGGGTAGTAGCAATGCCACTGCATGTAACAGTTTTCTGAATTCTCGTTGAAAGTTTCTTTATTTTCAAAATCTTCCTTTTTTTCAGGCAAATTTTGACACATACTAAAACTTCATATTTGTCTATGAACAAGCACATACACGGTACTAAACATTAAAATGTTATCATACATAAATATATTCATGTATAAAATATATCAGAAAATTTAATATAAACTGCTTTCTTAAAAGTGAAAGAGGAATAAAAATGAGAATGTAGAATTTCAAACTATTATTTACTATATAGACTTAAAATGTCAAAGGTCAACTCCATACTCGAATATCGTTTTAGTAGGATTTGTGCGTAAAACCATTTTATTATTACAAACCCCAAAACGATGTGCTGACAGGGATATATTTTATTATTACAAACCCCAAAACAAAATTTTATACACAAGAAGTAATTGATGAATGGACAATAATGCTTAAGTTGCTACAATTTTCCAGTTTTATACAGTCTATGTTGGCATTTTTATTCAACCTTGCAAATTAAAATAATTATGCTTCTTCACCTGACTTGCTGCTTCCGCACACACTGGACAATAGAAGTGTCACCCCTACTGAACCAATACTTTTGGGGAGATAAAAGACTGTGGAATGATATGCTTCCGGTATCATTTTATTAACATCAAATTTCACAAAAAAAAAAAAAAAAAAAAAAGAGAAAAAATATACATTCTATCAAGATATGAAGTTTCAAGTCCAAAATTAGTACTTAATGGCATAACCACGTGACCTAATAATAGCTGCTAGTCTGTGAGGCAAGGATTCATATAATTGTCTGATTCGTTCAGGGCTTATGCTGGCCCAAGCATGAAACACTGAATCTAACAGAGTTTGTCTGCTGGTTGGCCGGGCATTTGTCAAAAGTTTTGACATATCATTCCACACATTTTCTATTATGTTTGCATCTGGACTCTGGGCAGGCCACATCACCCTGCGAATGTCCTGTTGGTCAAACCAATCATCAACTGCTCTGGGTCTGTGACAAGGAGCATTGTCATCCTGGTGAACAAATGGATATTTCCTGTCACCAAACATGTTAGTAATAGATGGTAGCAAACCTGACTCCAAAGCATCGATATATTTCTGGTGATTCGTGTTTTCATCAACCACTACCAATTCACCAACGCCATGGATGCTGATGCAGCCCCACACCATGATGAATATGCATATCCGGGTTCAGAAATTCAGTGCATGTTCAAATGCTTTACCAGCAGTTCACCAGCATCGGACCCGTCTGTCATCAGAGGTCAGACCAAAGCAACACTCATCAGAAAAAACTATACTTGACCAATTGTCATGGTCTGCCCAGTTCCAGATCCTGTTGGCCTTAGTTCACTCTACGTTGCCTGTTTTGTACGATATAACACTGTAAGAGGTTTCAGTCTTGCTACCCTGCTGTACACTCTCCAAGCATGTAACCGACGCCTAGCAGTTTTCACAGATAGATTCTTATGTGTGAAATAGTTCCACAACTGACAAGCAATGAGATTCATGTGTTTTTTCAAAGATTTAATATTATTTACAACATAAACTTATATGTAAAAAGAGAAGTTAATAACCATACCAAAGACATGAAGCCAAGCTCCCTGTTAAACCGCCACGATGGAAATGCTACACGTAGGTGGGGCCAAAATTTTCCCAGTCAAAATAACTGAGCACTTCACTTTAACTACAAAGGTACCACTCTAAATCCACCTGCCATGGTGAGAAGAAAGCTGATGACAAATTGTCATGTTAAGTTTTTACATTTTTAAGCACAAATACATTAAAGCGAAAATTTACCGATAACACTAAAGTGACGAATTGGTACTCTGAACAAAACGGGTTATTTTTTACAAAATGTTGGAGCAATATCCATGCTGTATATAGCAAGCCCCGCTCAAGATGTTCAAGCATCTAGAAATATCGAAAACTTTTATATCCACGATTTTGTAAGGTGTAAACACCTTCTAGGAGTTTGGCCGTAACAAGCGTAACAGTTCTGTGGGCTCAAAACATAAAAAATAGGCCACTGTCGTAGCTAGATCGCAAATAAAAACAACGACAAAACAACAACAATGCTCAAGAAGATGTATAGCAGACATATCAATTAGTTAAATGTTATGACTGTCATGTAACACAAGTATCAAAAAGTAGGAGAGAAAGCTTTTTGGGGATATTTTTTTTTCCGAAACATAATCAAGATGACGGCCTATACATCTGCTTCTATTCAGATACCGAAAGTACACCTAATATATATTCTATCCCATCGCCACAAATGATTAAGCAAATACACCTGTATAAATACCCTACTTTCCCCATCTTATACTACAAGTATAACCATTTGTTATGAGCGGGAAATATTTTTCCTTGCAATTTTTGTTCTGCACACTCTTCCTCGCGAGATCGTCGTGGAACTAGATACTTACAAAGTGAGACCTTACATCATAGATGTTGCAATTTATCTTCATATTACTCAAAGTAATAAATTTAAATTCTCTCACTTGCTTTCGAGGACCTTATATAACATCATATTTCACGCAGTCTGCAATACTCGTATTTTAATGAATCTTTTCTGTATTTCTATGTGCCACCTGGTGAAGAAGCTATTTTTTTGGAAAACGAGATTTAAACAAGACCGTAACACAGATATTCACCCATTGTTCTCTGGGTTCTGTTCATTCCGATGAATGAGAGGCCGTAAAACGGGGTTCATCCCCACGCGTGTAATCTCCTTCTGTTGAAACTCCTTGATGGTAACTATGTACGTATCTCTGCCAGTATTGGAGATATGAGGGAAGGAATCCTTGCAAAGGTCAGATTGTTGTGAAAGGAAGACCAAAGGTCAATTTAAGGTCACAGATTGTCAGTATATGACCTCCTATTCAACTTCAATAGTAACTATGGGCATACCTGGGGTATCTATGCCAGTTTTGGAGATATAAGGGATTGAAATATTGCAAAGTTCAGTTCATGGTGAAAAGTAGGCGAAAGGTCAATTTGAAGGTCACAGTTAGATTGCCAGTACACGGCATCCTATTCAACTTTAATAGTAACTAGCTCCGTCAGTTTTGGAGATATAAGGGACTAATATTTTGCAGTTTTGAAGTTTCAGTAATTTGCCTTAACGTTTGTACAGAAGAAATTAATTGAAATAAACAAAAGGGCATTTTGGTTGACATTCTTGAAATGGGTCGTGCTCAGCAGTTCCAGATGATCAGATTTCATAAAATAATGTTATTTTTGACCAGAAGTTGTCTGCCTTGTTAAGTCTTATGTTATCTTTTCCAGGAGTCGAAATATTATGCATATTACCGTATTTCACAGTTTACTTTCACCACCAACATGTATTTTTTTGATACAACGTAACTCCAAAACGTATAGAAAACAACAACAACAACAACAACAACAATAATAATAATAATAATAATAATAATAATAATAATAATAATATTTAAAAAAATAGATAAATAAAACGGATACTATTTTCAGTATTGGGCTTGACATGCTCTTTCAAATAATAGATAAAGAAAACAAGAGGTCTCTTGCATTCCAAAATTAAAGGGAGTTTTGTATTTCGGCATCTAATGGCCGCTTCTCCCGGGAAAATGCACCGATTGACCCCAAACTCACAGAGATGAAAGAAGACCCTAATGGTAACACCAATAACATGATAGGTTAGGTCTGTGTAGTTTCTGAAAATCGGTACAAATATATTTTTTTGGCAAAAAAATCCCTTTGTCAGAAAGTTTTGGAACGTTTCACCTTGAAATATAGGTCAAAGTTAAAATCCAAGGGCACACTTGAAATCTTTACATATGGCTTTCGGTCAGCCATCTCAATAATTTTTTCCCATAATTAATTTGGTTTGGGAGATATTCAGCATTTAATTTTGCAAATTTTTGAAATGGTGCATTGCGACGAACGCCACCCTTACACCCAAGTGCCGTCAAACATTAAAATTCACATGGATCGAGTTGAGGTTATATGTGACCTACAAACAAGATATGGCGCTCTTCTATTTAAGGAGGAGAAACAGTAACGGTGACAGCGGGACTTAAACCATGTGTACCGTCAGCGCACACGCTGGTAGTACAATAAGTTGACAAAATCAGATTTTTTTTAGAAATTGATAACATTCTTAGCGATTAAAACGAGTAGAAAATGAAACATAAAGTAAACGACTTGCTTACTTGTTACCAAGCATTCTGCAGACCACACGAGCATCGTTGACATCCCAGCCGTCATCACAGACAGTGCCCCATTCACCGTTGTAGAACACCTCAACTCTTCCCTCACCGGCACGAGAACCACCCACCAATCTCACTTCAACTGCAAGGAATGACAGTCAGTAAAGTTTTATATAAACAGTATCCATTTGCTATCGCATTGTTTCACACGAAACGGGACATAAAAATCTTGCCCAATGCGAAATTCATTTAAACACCATTATGATACTTCCTCGTGTCCATGCCAAAAATAATGTAAATGCAATTTTGTGACACGACTAAAATTTGTAAATTAAGAACACAATCTGTTCACCCACCAGGCCCTGCAATGACACATCTGACACCAGCATCCTCACAGTGGATGCAGTCGTGTGACCTCCAACCGTTGTGTCTGCAATATTTGATAGATGCTTCGTTTCCAGAGCAGGCGACGTTATCCATAAGAATGGAACCAGTACCTCGACCGAAATGAGCGCCGTAAAAGGAAACAGAGTCGCTTGTGCTGGAATTTCTAAGGCACATCAAATAAGTTGACATAAACAGATTAAAAAATGAATAACACTTTTACGTTGAAAATGAGTAGCAAAAGAAACATGAAGTAAACGATGAACCTACTTGTAACCAAGCATTCTGCAGACCACACGAGCATCATTGACATCCCAGCCGTCATCACAGACAGTGCCCCATTCCCCATTATGGAACACCTCAACTCTTCCCTCACCAGCATGAGAACCACCCACCAATCTCACTTCAACTGCAAGGAATTCCGAATGACGATCAGTAAAGTTTTACATAAGCACTAACCATCTGCTAACGCACTGTTTAACACGAAACGGGACATAAAAATCGTGTCCAGTGCAAAAATCGTTTAAACGCCATTATTATATCCCATCTATTATATCCCATTATTATATCCCATCTTGTTGAAATTTCATTCAAAAAAATTATGTATATCAGACACTTGTTGATACGTGCAATTGATGCTCTATTGACTTACTGAAATCCGTGGAATAGACGATGCCACTAGCCATCAACGCAAGAACAAGGGTGGAGAATATCAACAACCCCATAACCAGTGAGCAGAGTCAGTGATGTATGCTCTGTTGCTAAAAAAAGACAAGATTACGGTCATGAATATTCTTAATTAATGCTGGCCAAGGTGCTGGTATATGTTTATCCACGTCAGTGCCTCTCATATCCCACATATGCTTATTCTGATACTTAAATCAAAAACCGCTATCCTACTTGCCAACCTTTGTAAACGGTCTGTTTATAATCAACGCATTGTGCCCCTTTTCCCTAGTCTATTTCCCCACTAATTGTTACTGCACAACCAAACTGATTTCTAAATTCCCTGATGGGATTGCACGTTTCTTTAATCTTAGGGACCATTCTCAGACCCTGTCACACTAACTATGGATTGATCTATTCCTGAGGGGATTCTCGCAAAATTGCAAACACTTTAAGACCTGTTTCCCTAACACCTATCCTCAGCAAGGAATTGGAAGCATTCATTTTTACATGGCTGTGGGAGATACTAGGACCACATATTAAGAAAGATCAGTTTGGCAATGTTAAAGGTTCCTCCACCACAATGGCCTTAATCGAGCTATTTGACACCTGGGCCAAGACCAGTGACACTCATGGGGCATAGTCTCGGGTTTTATTACTTGATTTTAGAAAAGCGTTTGATTTAATAGACCACAATATTTTGCTAGGCAAGCTTTGCAGCTATGGAGTACCTCCAGTATTACTCAGATGGGCCCATGCCTTTTTACTAAATAGACAGCAACGGATCAAGTGTGGATCAGTAATGTCACAATGGTGCCATATTCATGGGGGCGTGCCCCAGGGTACAAAATTAGGACCTCTCCTTTTCATTACAATGATAAATGACATGGAATGTTTTTTACCAGCAGTAAAATATGTGGATGACACTACAGTTTATGAGACAGTTCACCAACCATCTCCAAGGGAAATAGAACAAGGTGCCAAACCTACACAATCTAAACTTCCCATAGCAGCCTCAAACCTATATGAATGGACAAAACAAAATAACATGCTAATCAATCCTAAAAAAACTGTTGAACTGTTTATCTGTTTCAGTAAAAACCCTACTGTACCTGATAACCTAATAATTGACGGTATAAAAATCGAACAAGTTTCACATGCCAAACTGCTGGGAGTTCATATCAGTTCTAATTTGAAATGGGACTTACATATAGAAAAAATTATCTCAAAAGCTGCATCCAGACTGTATTTCTTATGCATGGTCAAACACGCTGGGGTGCCGAGACATGACCTCTTACAAATTTATAAAAGCAATCTCAGACCAACACTTGAGTACGCTTGTCAGCTATGGCATGCTGGAATTACCGCACAGCAATCTAAAGCCTTAGAGAACATCCAAAAAAGGGCTCTTCATATTATATACCCTGAACTCACTTACAACGAAGCAATGGACATCACTGAATTACCTACCTTGAAATCTCGGCGTACTGACTTATGCAAAAAATTATTTAATGAGATAAAACTGTGTACACATAGATTGAACCATCTTTTACCTAACACTCGTGTCATAGAAAAGGACCTAAGGAATGTTTATAGATATGTTTTACCAAAATGTCGGACAAAAAGATATAGAAACACTTTTATCCCATACTGTTTATATACGTGTCAATGATCTAGGTCTATCCATTAACTTTTAGCTTTTGAAAATAACAA